CTTAACTTCCTGTCTACATGTATCCACAATGGCACATTTCAAAATGCTGATTTTTCTCAGTTGTGCAATTTTTGATGTCCAAATTGCATCATCTTTGCACCTTTTCTCGCCAGCATGCTGAGAACCAGGTGATCCTTTATCGATAAAAGAGGAGAATCCTATTTGCCTGAGGGTAGCAGCTCTTTCTTGAGCCCCTCAGTGCTGGGATGGTGTATCCAGCACCATCTTTCTGACCTCAGCAGGGAGTGCAGTTATCCAGGTGTGGTTATGCTCTTTAATGGTTCTCCTGGCCTTATTCTTGCAGCTTCTGATGTAAACATCCTTTGGGGATGGTAGAGCAGCGCCAAATGTGTGTTCAACTGAATGATCCAGTCTTTGCAGGCTCTCATGGTCCTGTTTGGTGCCATCTCTGGACCAGGTCGTGATGTTCCCCATCAGGACGCTCTAGACTCTGCAAGAGTAGAAATTCCTTCATATTTGAGGGGATACCCGGAATTTCCTCAAGCGTCCAAGGTGCCTCGCCTTTCTTACCTACCTGCATGTGACCTGTAGCACCCAGGTCAGGCCCTTGGTGATGTAAACACCAAAGCTGCGTTTCCACCAATGCCTTGCGGTGTAGCAGAACTCAAGTGCACTAAGTGTAAGTGACTACTACTAACAGAAACCCGTTCCACGTGTTGATAGTCCAGATATATCATGCTTGGGTGCAGACAAAAGAAAACAGGATGATGCTTTCTGCTGTTGTCTTTACAAAGCACTCCAGGATGCTTTCACTTGGAGTACCTGTGTGCTGCAGTTTCACTCCTGTGAGAAGTCATTTTCACTTTGTAAGCAAGGTTTTCAGCTGCAGCTCGTTCTCTGGAGAGATGTGTTCACCAGGTGCAGTCTGCTTTATTGTGATGTGTCAAAGCACATTTTGCAAATCGATATATTTTTGTACTCAATGACATAGATTACGACCCATAGATCGGTTTGTACCTCATCTCCCAGACAAAATAAATGTCATTCCTTAATTTTGTGACCCTTCTGTTTTATGTTGGGACTCCATGAACTGTCCCTGACATCCAAGATTAGGAAATTTGTAATTTGTTTCAGGAGTTTTCTTACTTTCCTTCAAGTTGCTTTAATTAATTCTCAGTTGCTGGCTTCCGACATTTCCCAAATTGCTTTGGACTCAGAGAAAGGGCTGTGTAGGTGGAGATTAGTAGCAATGTTCCAGTCATTTGTTTCCTAGTAATTTTAACTTTGTCAGTGTGATATATGTGCAGATGTAACAACTGGCTGCTTTGCATTTGGATCCATTGCGGTCCATTGTAAAGAAGTGGAAATAAAGAAACCGTATTATTCTGTTATAGCTGTGTCGAGCTAGTTAATCCTATAAACTATGATAACTTGTGCATATTTCCAAAGGGTATATTATCACTTTTGACATTGTAAGAGAAAGGGCGTCTGACTCTGAAATGCACCTTTTATTCCAAATACCTGTTTTTAAAAAGTAGTATATTTTTCTGTTCAACACAACCCTCTGCTCCACTCTGCTCCTTACTTGATGTAGCCATTACCTTTCCCTTACTGTTCCCCAGAGCTGCTTATTATTCTGCTGATGACTTTGAAGTAGGAACGGTGCTTTATGAGTCTTGCTGCTCCTCCCAGTTCCCCCTCCTTCCCAATTAATAACCACAATCAGTGACAGACTTTGACTAATGATCAGTCCTGCTGGAGCAACCATTTCTACAGTGATGATGATAGCCATAATAATATTTAAAGTAATAATGATAGCTGTAATATATCTAAAGGCTGACATCAATCTAATCTCCGGGATTTATTAGACAAGAATATGCCAGTCACTCTGTCAGTGAGAGGAGTTGCTACAGGCGATTAAAAATGAAGTCTTTCTTTCTGTGTGCGGGTTTGAAACATTAGCTGCTGTTGTGATTTTCTGCAGGAAATTGTGTCCACATTCAAAAGGAAGTACAAGAATAGAGGCGGAAAGCAGGCTGGTTAACACCCTTTAATCAAAACATTTAGATCCAATGCAGCTCTGTGAGACTGAATCAGTCTCACCGCTGTCAGTCATACTGATTCCTCTGTTACCCCTGCAGTCAGGATATCCTGTACATTACAGTTATGAATTGTTATTGTGTGAGAAAGTAGTGTTTAAGGGTCACTTCATTTAGAGTTCAATATAAGGCTATTGTTAATGTGCACCAGATCTTATTTAGCTTTATCAGACATTTATCACCGGCGTTTTTTTGTAAGACTTAAGACTTTGTAAGATCTTTTTTTTAACCACTGGCACCAACATGATGTGTCATGCACAATTTCCCACCCATCAAAACCACCATCTCCTGGGCGATAATGTGTTAGGCGAGGGGTATATTTTTATATCTGCAGGACTCCAGACAACGACTACTCAGTCACATTTTGCAACCATGGTGCGACCAGTGTGACTTGCAAATGTTATTAATATATGAACACAGTGAGTAACACTTATGTAACAGTGCTGCTGTAATGGTTTAACTTCCTGCGAACTGCCAACATCAAAGTGTTGACAGCAAAAACATCAACACTTCCATCCTGAGACGAGTCGGGTGTTTCAGAATAAAAGCACCAGTGGTTCCACTTTGATTTATTCAATTGATACAATACTTTATCTAACTTCATTATGACAGTACTTTAATAAACTTTATTCCAACAGTACTTTATTTAATTTTATTATAACCGCACTGTAACTTTTTTACAACTACTTTAGTAAAGTTTATAATAACAAAACTTCATTTAACTTTATCATAATAACCTGTCTCTGCAGTCAGCTCTACTGAGCATGTTAGTCCCTTTCAGCTCACTGTTTTGGTTTTAGGGCCAGCAGCTTTTATGTTTTAGTTTAGTCTTACAGCTCTCATCAGCGTCCTCTCTAGGCACAGTAGGCATCTGTCTTCATTGAAAAAGCTCTGATGAAAATGTACATTTACAGCAGACAGAGAAAGTTAGCAACTAGCTGGTTAAGCTAGCTCACTAAAGAGCCTGATCCGTCCTCAGGAGGTGGTAGAGACCTAAACAGAGCGAAAAGGAAGTTGATATTGGACTTATATTGGTCACATGGCCAAAACAGTAACTTAATGCTTATGTTCTGTATTTGCTGGATGTGTAAACAAACACAACAGCTTTAAACAGAAAAGACAACATTCTGTGCTTGAGTGTCTTAATAGAGAAAGAATGTTGTGGAAATTAGATTTGTTACACTTCTGTTCTAACGTCACACGTACAAAAGAGGTGATTACCATGAAACAACAAGACTTGAGACAGCAGGAAACTTGATTTGCATTTAACAAACCACATCTAGAAATGTCCTTTGTCTTCAATAGTGCAACTGAAAAACAACTGCATGACGTCTCTTTCATTCCCCTGATGTCCACTGTGTTTGTCCAGTAATCTCTTCACAGCATCTTCAGCATGTAATATCTATATGAGATCTGACAGCCTTGGCTCCAGTGTCTGTCTGTCTCTCATTCAGTCTGAGTGCTCTCCAACAGCTCTCAGACACAGCACCTGGGAAATACAACCACATTTTGATGTGCACGTTCTGCTAAATCTATAAAATACTGTATGTACTGTGTCCAAGATGTCAGCAGCTGGAGGGGGAGGGAAACTGATGAGGGATTAACTGCGGCCGTTGAGCTTTTTCTGTGGTAATGGAGCTGCAGAGTGGGCACTATGCCATGTGGCAATGGTGATGCTGGGCGGAGGATGTGGATACCCGCCGTTCATGTGTGATGCAGGATTAGGGCTGTAAGTGCAGGGGGTCAGTGTGGCTAATGGAGCTCATATGTTGGCGACAGAGGGCCTTGTGGAGAGTGATGCAGTGATGGAGGGGGAGTGGATAGATTAAGGAAGGATGCAGAGGGAGGGGTTTATGTGGGGCAGAGTTCACACTGTTTCAGACATCGGAAATTAGATGGAGACTGAAACAAACGCAGTTCAATTTCTCCACCTTCACATAGTGAGCTGCTCTGCTCTTATCTGACTCAAACAGCAGCCAGCTGCTTTCACATTGTCCCTGCTCTATTTGTGTGTAGAGTACAGTATGTTCATGTATGTAATTCTGTGTGTCTCTCAGCATACTTATCTCAGAGACTTACTTGGTGTCTGCTAAGCTCTTTTGCTGTAAAATAGGACAAATAAAAAAGTCAGAGTCGTTACGTCATCAGGGGTTACACTGGGTTCTTTTTGGAATGGAAACAAAGTCTAAAGTAGAGATGAGAATTCTTCATTTTATAGACATTACAAGCAGCACTGCTGTCATCTGTCGTTGTGAAATGAAGCCATGCTTTGGAGCTTTTCTTCCTCTCTGCCAAGACTCCTTCTTGTTGTAGCTTTCCAGCAGTGTAGATGCTTGAGTTTGATATCTGCACATTGTTTTGCAATGTGTAACTGTCAAAAAAACATAATGGCATTGATAAAAGGAATTGATAAGCTCAGAGGCATACGATTGAGATGGGCTGGACAATTTGAAATTGGTTCTTCCAATCCCTAGTGCAAAGACTGAGGAAATACACACAAATGATTTATCCTGAGTTTTAGCTTCTAGTATAGGTAAAGTGCCAAAAACCAAATAGCTCTTAGGACCTGGTATTAATTTTAGCATTGGAAAGCACCTTCAGAGCCAGCAGTTTTCTCCAGAGCTGAAACAATCAATCCATCGACAGACAAGTGTAATCATCAATTGTCATTTTTTAATGCAGAAATCCTCAAAAAATCTATCTTCAACTTCTTAAATACGAATATTGGCTGTTTGTTTTAGTTTTCATAAATGGTTAACTAAATATTTTTAGGGTTTAAGACATCTGAAAGTGCATCTTGACCTCTGGAAAATTGTGATGGCCTCCTTGTGATGAGTAAATTAAACTTCACATATAAACTTGTTAGATTTTAAGCTTGTGTACTAGTAGTTCTTTCGAACAACACTAACAATGAATTTTGCTTTTTTCTTTGTTTCACAGGGAGAGAAGCCGGGACCGCCACAAGTCCCGCAGTAAAGACACCCGCTCAGAAAAGTCTGTAACAATTAACACGCCGCCTGCAGAGCCGCTGCTGGGTGACTCTGCTGTTCGGGGTGAGCAGGTCCAGGTAGGGCTGAACACTGCACCATCACTTTAATGCTATCCTGCATCCACTCTAGAGTCTTTGACATGATTTCACAGAAAGAAACACTGTCATTCACCATCGCTGAACAGCATGCTACTCATTGCTTTATGGAGCCCACTAATACAAAACAGGATATCTCTGCTAGTCAGATTTATAAGGGATTTAGAGTACAGGAGATTTATCAGTCACTCGTCAAAATGAGTTGGAATGATAATTGTGTTCATCAGCCTTGGCTGGGACAGGCCATCTGGTATTTGAGGGCAAAAGCCAGAAGGGCCAGTCCACTTTTGGCAAGGTTAGGGCTGTCACTTTCAGGAAATGTACGACAAATAAATGTCTGCTACAGGATATGAATGCAGCAAGTTGCTTCTCTGGTCATTACAACTTAGTTTTGCTTTTGTTATGTTGTAATTTACTGCAGAGAGCAGGGCAATAAATTATCCGGTCCAATGCAAGGTGGGGAGATTACATTCGTTGCCCCCACCAAAATGGATCAGACCGAGCAAAAACAGCAGCTTAGCTGTTTTTTACTGTCAGTCAAAATTCAAACTATACACTGAGAAATCATGCTGACTGTCAGTGACCGCCGGCTCAATAAATGGATTATGTGATGGATTATTTGATAAAAGAGAAATATAAGGTAGGACAATTCCAATAAAAATCATTTTGCCTTTAGCACGTGTTAAATAACAACTCCAGTATTTGCTGAACATGTAACAGAGTGTGTTTGGCAGTTGGTTCACTCCTGTTGCTGAAGACAGATAGATAGACAGTCGCCTGACTCATTTTCATTTCATATAGCAGACAGCCGTGTGATTATGTTCCTTGGAGTCAGATAAAAGGCAGAACAAATAAAAGGCGATCAGATAGCACTGTATTAGCCGGGCAGGTTGGCTGCGAGTTGGCATGTTAAGACGTGAAATTCGTGGTAGCACCTGAGGGATACAAGACTCCATGGTCCAAAGTAGTCACAGTAGAAAGAAAATGAGTGAGGGCCAATTTGTAACCTAAAGTTTTGTGTGGTATTTTTGAGCAAAGACTCAAGGAGGAGAAATGCAAATGAATTTTATTAAATAGCCTAAATTATAAATTAAAAAACAAACGTCCTTAGTCTTGTGTGTGTAAATCCTAAGGTGTGAACTGTTTACAACCACAAAGATAAATCACCTGGAAAAGTTAATGTTCATCAGTTCATGTCCTTAATACGTTATTATAGCTGCAAACAATGTTTAGTAAGGTTGCAGTTACCTGCAGAAGTGTTTCTCTGAGTGCCTCGCTACTTGTTGGATGGGTCTAATTGCTGGTGTTTGAGACTGTAAGCCATTATTTGATGGTAATAAGCATAGTTTGTGGTTTTTCCCTTGTTTATCGACAGAGTTTACAGCAGGTTTTAACAATAAGCATCTCCAATCGGTTTTCTGTTGGATTTAAAGTAGCCTAACCCTGTTTTGTCTCACACATGACCAAACTGGAAGTTAAGAAGCCAGAGTATCACCTCACCACTGATGTTTCATCCACAGCAGCTCTTTACATTAAAGGTTGTTGTGACTGTTGAGCTGTGGCTTTCTGAGCTGACAAAGTTTCCTCAGAGGGAGCTTTCGTCTTCCCCAACTGACACACATATGCTGCCTGTGTGTTCTCTTTGTGTGTATTCTGTCGGCTTGTCAAAGGTATCAACTTATTCATGGCTTGGTTGCAAACCCAGAACTTCCATTCACATCTGTTTTCCATATCAGAATAACCTTTATCTACATGGTAACTGTGCTATCAACTCGTGGTATGATATATGACATGACCTCAATCTTTTTGCTGACCTTGATCTTGCCTGTTGTGTTTACATGCGTGTTTGTTTCCAAAAGAATGTCACCAACATGTTAGCCAACATGAAGCCAGAATGAACAGCAGGGTTTTCCTGACCTTGATGAGACTTAGGTGCAGCAATTCTCCCCTTTTTCTCTCCACCCTTCCTACTTGTGTGAGTCCGAAGAAAAATAAAATGACACTTCAAAAACAACACAATGTAGCTTACCGCCTGCAGCTGCACTTTGGGAGTGGAAGAGGCACAGTCCTGATAGTTGTTAGCTTACAAACCCCTAGCAACAAGTGGAAAAAGTCCATCATTTGTGCTTTTATCCTCCAACAACTTCATCCTCCACTCTGTAAATTCACCTGGCTCCCAGGCTCCCCATTCCCGAGAGCTGACTGCTGCACACCGGCCAGACCATGGAGGTAACGGCGGTGTTCCCGCAGCTTATTAGTCGCAAGAGGTATCACCTGGTTATTTATTTGTTGGCCAGATTTTGCAAGTCTTAGATTGAGTACTTTTGGGCTACTTCTATGAAGGTACTATAGTTTTACATATACATTGTCGTATCAATGGCATAGGAATGTCTCAAATTGACAATAATACTGTTTATTGCTATTATTTCTGGGACAATATATCGTCCAACAAAGGAAGTCATTGTGACATTCCTATCTCTACCGTTTTCTAGTACTGCCTGTCTAGGTGCTCTCAGATAACTAAGAGTAGAGTTTCATGGCATTTGGATGAGCAGTTGATTGGCCGTCTGTTATGTAAAGGAGTGAAATGTGCACAGTTCTTCTTCCGGCGTGCTTTCAAAGCAGGAATTTCAACACTTGCTGGCAAGAGTCGAATGCATTTAATGAAAGATGAGATTTCAGCACACAGACAGCTTTTGCTTACCCAAGACTGACCCGCTCTTTTAGCCAAACAACTGTCTGGCACAGTGGCCTTCATCAAGTGCTCGGCTTAACCCGCTGAAGGGAAAAGATGACAAACACAAACACACCCAGACGCTCCAACGTTCACCATCATTTACTGACCTACTTGGCGCTCACTTTCCCTTGTGGCAAGACTCGTTAGCAGTGCCCGTGTGTGTGTGTGTGTGACTGTTTTGTTTTTTTTTGTGTCTAATTTTAACACGACAGGATTTGCCACAGAGCACAGCCATCCTTAGTATTTTGCTCTTCATGTCTTATTCATGCCGTGGCCTGCAGTGGTGCCGCTGACAGGGCGGGTAGTGTTTGGCTTTAGTTTGAGTAATCAGGGCTACCAATTCTACTGAGAGAGAGGCTCAGCACAAATCCCTGTGTGTCTGTGTGCTTGTGCGCTCTGGTTTCACATATGCTCCTGTGTGTGAGTGTTTTGTGTCTGTGTGTGTCAGCCTCGTCTCAGAGTCTAACTGTTCAGCGCTGCGCTCATTACTCCACTGTCGGGACTTAATCAGAGTTTTGGCTGATGGAGCAGCACATCGCTCCGGGCAGGGATGTCCTCACAATCCAGCACAAAAGTTTCTCATGGCTGTGATGTGTCTGCGATGCCTCACCACAGGAATTATAAAAGAAGAGGGGCTGCTTCACATGGAAATGTGTCGGAAAACGCGACTGGAGATTTGAGATTAACACCACAGCAGCCAGAGAACTGTTTACAGCCTGCTCTGGAGACATGGTGTTTATATGTGTAAATCTTTTCACTTGGCTACAAGCTTTCACAAGATGTAGAAGATGTAGCAGAGCAGCTGTGAAGCACATTTATAGGAATATTTTGACATTTATTTGCATTATTGCCTCATATCTGTATGTTAAACATGAGGCTGGAGCCAAAAGTTGATATAACTAATGACTAGATAGATAGACAGATAGAGAGAGAAATATATCAATAGAAAAATAAAAATAATAAAACCTTAGCACACTCTGTAAGTATAAGATATATATATACAGTACAGGCCAAAAGTTTGGACACACCTTCTCATTCAATGCGTTTTCTTTATTTTCATGACTATTTACATTGTAGATTCTCACTGAAGGCATCAAAACTATGAATGAACACATGTGGAGTTATGTACTTAACAAAAAAAGGTGAAATAACTGAAAACATGTTTTATATTCTAGTTTCTTCAAAATAGACACCTTTTGCTCTGATTACTGCTTTGCACACTCTTGGCATTCTCTCCATGAGCTTCAAGAGGTAGTCACCTGAAATGGTTTTCCAACAGTCTTGAAGGAGTTCCCAGAGGTGTTTAGCACTTGTTGGCCCCTTTGCCTTCACTCTGCGGTCCAGCTCACCCCAAACCATCTAGATTGGGTTCAGGTCCGGTGACTGTGGAGGCCAGGTCCTCTGCCACAGCACTCCATCACTCTCCTTCTTGGTCAAATAGCCCTTACACAGCCTGGAGGTGTGTTTGGGGACATTGTCCTGTTGAAAAATAAATGATCGTCCAACTAAACGCAAACCAGATGGGATGGCATGTCGCTGCAGGATGCTGTGGTAGCCATGCTGGTTCAGTGTGCCTTCAATTTTGAATAAATCCCCAACAGTGTCACCAGCAAAACACCCCCACACCATCACACCTCCTCCTCCATGCTTCACAGTGGGAACCAGGCATGTGGAATCCATCCGTTCACCTTTTCTGCGTCTCACAAAGACACGGCGGTTGGAACCAAAGATCTCAAATTTGGACTCATCAGACCAAAGCACAGATTTCCACTGGTCTAATGTCCATTCCTTGTGTTTCTTGGCCCAAACAAATCTCTTCTGCTTGTTGCCTCTCCTTAGCAGTGGTTTCCTAGCAGCTATTTGACCATGAAGGCCTGATTCGCGCAGTCTCCTCTTAACAGTTGTTCTAGAGATGGGTCTGCTGCTAGAACTCTGTGTGGCATTCATCTGGTCTCTGATCTGAGCTGCTGTTAACTTGCGATTTCTGAGGCTGGTGACTCGGATGAACTTATCCTCAGAAGCAGAGGTGACTCTTGGTCTTCCTTTCCTGGGTCGGTCCTCATGTGTGCCAGTTTCGTTGTAGCGCTTGATGGTTTTTGCGACTCCACTTGGGGACACATTTAAAGTTTTTGCAATTTTCCGGACTGACTGACCTTCATTTCTTAAAGTAATGATGGCCACTCGTTTTTCTTTAGTTAGCTGATTGGTTCTTGCCATAATATGAATTTTAACAGTTGTCCAATAG